AGTCCTTGAGGATCTATGGATATCCCAATATAGTAGCCCTTATAGCCTTTCCCGTATAGCCTTATTAGATCTTCAACCTTTGACCCCTGACCCGGCACAGACAGACACACACTGAACAATATATACATAGATTTTAAATGCCTAAGTACTTCAAAGTGTTGAAAGTACTTGAAGTAGTTCAAAGTAGCTTAAAGTAGCTTAAAGTACCTGGTAGTTCGTGTGAAGTAGCTCAAAATTCGCTTAAAGTACTTTAAATTACCTCGAAGTACTTCAAAGTAGCGTAAAGTACTTGAAGTACAAAAGTCTGCTGTTTCCCCCTTGACTTAACCTCTCAATTCCTATCCTTAGCCTCTTACTTCTATACCTGACGCCTTATCTCTACTCTTAATCCCTTCATTCTGCACTTAATTCCTTATATCTACCTCTAACCCCTTATTTCTACACTTGACCTCCCTATTACTATCCTTAACGCCTTATTACTATCCTTATTTCTATATCTAACCTTTATTTCTATCTTTACCCTTAATTCTATAGGGTTGTGTATAGCCTTTTGCTAAGGGGGTAGTACTGTGATTTCAACTTGTATACCTAATGAATTTTATACCAATTTAAAGCACGTCTAAAACTGAATGTATTACTGCGAAATAGTGGGAGCCATCAAAACCTTTTATTGCCGCGCTTACAAAGTTTTCAAAAGTAGTATGCTTTTTTACCACACGAAAGTAAAGCGTCAGCAATTCAAAAATATTTTCAAATATTTTCTTTGATATTTCTACATGGCTTGGTAGAACTCGTCGAGCTCTACAAAACTGTATATATTAGAAATTTTTTGAGCCATTTTTCTTAGATGAAAGATTTTAAGGATCAGTTGCAAAATCTTTAAAAAATTTAAAAAAATCGTTTGTTTTTACATGGAAAAGAAACAGTCAATTTTCTGAATAAAATACCTACTTGCTTTATTTTTTCTAAAAAAGGCGTTTCAAAATATATTGGCTAGACGCACTTTTTCACGCTGCATCACATGTGAAAGTTTCGAAACGTCTTTGTCAGAGAAAATAATGCAAGCGGGTAATTTTATTCAGAAAATGGACTACTTCTGTTGGATGTAAGAAAAAACGATTTTTTTATAAGATTTAAAAGATTTTACAAATGATTCTTAAAATTTGTCAGCTAATAAAAATGGCTAAAAAGTTCTTATATACACAGCTTAGTAGAATCCGGCCAGTTCTATCAAGCCATGTAGAAATATCAAAAGAAAATATTTTACAATACTTTTGAATCGCTGACGCCTTAATTTTCTTTAGTAAAAAAGCATACGATTTTCGAAAATTTTGTAGGCTAGGCATTAAAAGGTTTTGATAACTCTCACTATTTCGTAGTAATACATTCAGTTTTAGACATGCTTTAATTTGGTGTAAAACGCATTAGGTATAAAGCTTCAAATCATCTTACTACCCCATGGCAAAAAGTTATGCACAACCCTGTATACTGAACCGTCATATTCCTATCCTTAATCCCTTAATTCTATACTTAACCCCTAGCCCCTATTCCTATCCTTAACAGCTTATTTCTACTCTTGACCCCTTAATTCTATGCCTAACCCTTATTCCTATTCTGACCCCCTTAATGCTATACCTAACTGCTTAAATCTATACTTGACGCCCTTTTCCTATCCGTAAACCCTTATTTGTACCCTTTCCCCTCTTCCTTAATTCTATATCTAACCCTTATTCCTATCTTTAACCCCGTATTTCTTACCTAATCCCTTATTACTATTCTTAACACCTTATCTCTAGCCCTAACCCTTATTCCCATTATTAACCCTTATTTCTATATCTAACCCTCATTCCTATTCTGACCCCCTTAATGCTATACCTAACTTCTTAATTCTATACTGAACCCTCTATTTCTATACTGAACCCTCTATTTCTATCCTTAACCCCTGAATTCTATAGCTAGCCCCTACTTCCCATTATTCTATATCTGACCACTTTTTGCTACCCATACACTCCTTATTTCTGCCTGAAACACTGATTTTCATCCTTTGTTTCTGAGTTTGATAGCTCACCCTTGCTTTCTATATGTATTCTTGTAAAATTATGTCTGATCGTTTATATTTGTATAAACTCTTATATATGTCTGTAGTACTTGCTTCTCTGGCTGTTTTCTTAAAATTGTTTATAGCCCCTTAACACTATATGGAACTTGTTACAACTGCGTCTTATCTCTCGCATCTATATTTAATCGCTTATAATTATGTCTGATCTGTCATTTCTATATCTCATGCATTGAAACTTTTGTCATGTCTCTATGTATTTCGAACGTCTTATAACTTTGTGTAAATTCTTAGCTTTGACGAAGTTGGTAATGTTGACTTAGAGTTAATGCGTAAAATATTTTAATACTTTTGTATTTTACTCAAGAAATAGTTCAGTGCTCTTGTGTCACTGTTTGAAAAAATAATTGAATAGTTGCATACTCGTATTTGATTGATAAAGCTTAGTGCAGGCACCTATTTTATCATTGTAGGATATTGGTTGAAATATGTATTCAATTGAAATCGGAAAATAGAACAAGATTGATTTATTATTAGAAATCTTTATTGTTTGCTTTGTGCTACATCTCACGTTATACAAATGTCAAAGTGTTAAAGTATATTCTGACTCTATAGAAAATGTGCAGTTAATTTCTCAACTTCAATACAAACTATAAATAGCAGCATGAGTTAATAGAACGATTATGTTAAGGCGAGACCAATAGTCTAATCACTTACATGTATTATCGAAACAATTTCTACCTATGTAAGTCTAAAATCATATATTTATTTCTAACATACATGTATAAGGACACGACCAGCGTTACGGAATTTCAGAATTTCACATTGCAACATCTGTATCTCCTCAATAATAAACGTAAACTCTCTAAAAATTTTTATCCTACGTAGAGACTATTTAGACCTACTATTGGTAAATATCACTGTTTCTTCTTTGATCAGAGCGGAATTATTTGAAAAACTATCGACAGCTACGGAATTTCAAAAATGGAATCCTTTTTTAGGATGTACTGGAAGTTTAACGCTTTACTACGAAACCCAGCAAGAAAGAAATAAATGTTCAGAGTAAAACTTATTCAGCTTTGAATAAGCTTTCGAAGCATTAGGTCATTTCTTTACATGAGTGTCTGTATCGAACAGAAAATAAAAAATACTGTCCGTTATAGAATTTCATCTTTTTTTCACATTCTAATGGGGAAGGTTTAGCAATAGAAAATTTTAAATGGTCATAATAAAAACCTGTCTTTTCTCTAATCCATAAGTAGCATCAAGAGAGTTTTATTATTTAAGCAATGAAGTCTTACTCTTACAACAGAAATTATAACAGAACTGCTATCTATTATTTGGACAAAAATGAAATTTAATAAGGTGTAAAGTTATACTTATTGATAAAATTAGTGGATTAATCTCTCTTTTAGATATAGTGGAAGAAAAAGGAATTTCTATCATTCGTATAAAATACATCTCATAGCATTCAATATATTTGATAATCTGTTGAAAGTATACTTTCGATCATAGATACCCTATTCTTTATTATTCGGTAACTAAACCTTCCTCATAGATGATTGACCGCTGGCTGGCTTCGTCCATAATCAACTAATTATATTGTTAACTTCATTCATATTCTCAAGCACTCAGTATGTATTCAGATAGACTTAAGTTTATATGCATCTCTGATATCTGTGTTTATACTCCGATATCTATGTATGTTCCCATTTATCTTTACAGTATCTCAGTTAAATCCAAACTGAGACATGCGGTATTGTTTTAAACTAATATGAATTCCATCTAGGTAAAGCGACACACGAAATGAATCATATTAAGAGAAGAAGTTAGTTTATTAAATAATCATTGTATTAAATGACGGAATCCGATGACTCGGATCATCACTGTTTTAAAACCGTAGTCGCTCTGTAACCTACTATAAAACTTATAAGTATAGTCATTCATGAAATAGATACACGAAAAAATGCTTAATGAATAGATAGTGTGTTTCCACAAGATATGTTGGTAAAGTCATTGAAGCATTAGTAAAGACTTTTCGTATTTTTTCTGGAAGAAATTCGGTATGAAAATGTTTGTGTTCAAAAAACGGCGACGAACAGATCGAAGCTAGATTGGATGATGAAGGATAAATCGGCAAATGGATGGAAGAATGTAGATCGGATGGCTTTCAAATTATTCAACATCGATCGATAACATAGATGCACAGAAAAAATATATAATATAGCACGAAACCTTGTGACGACGATACTTCTAAAAGGTTTTATACGAAACCTTCTCGTGACGGAAATATCGAAAAGGTACCATACGAAACCTATTTAAGTTCCAAAAGGTATCGAGGGCTTTATACGAAACCTCCTTAAGCTTTAGCTTTTATGAAGAGTGTCATACGAAATCTTTTTAAGTTCTAAAACTTATAAAGAGTTTGATACAAAACCCTTTTTTGCTCCAACTTTCTCAAAATGTTTTTTACGAAACCTTTCTAAGCTCCAACACCCGTAAAGGGTTTCATACGAAACCCTTCTTGAACCTCCAACACTTATCAAAGGTTTTATACAAAACCTTCTTTAGCTCCAATACTCATCAAGAGCTGTTTCCGAAACTTTTTTGGGTTGAGACGTATAAAAATGGTTCGACACGAAACCTTTTCTTAGTTTTCGAAAGTTGTAAAGGTTTTATACAAAACCTAGCATATTACTAAACCTTTTATGGATTTCGTATAATTGCACGGTAACCTTTGGAATATGTTAAACTTCGACGAAACCCTAAAGGATTCGTCTAACATCTTTTTTGTTTTTAGTGCACCATTTGAAAGAGGAGACTCCATAGATTATGCATATATAAAAATATTTTCAGTCGGGTGTAAAATAGCTGAGAACCGAGTCGAATAAGGAAGAAAATTTTTTTAGTGTTGTTATTAGGGACATTGACTGTATAAATTACAATGGGAAAAGGTCAACAGGCTATACATGAACATATGGAACAAGCACCACTCATTCTTGACATGGAAACTATTAGTATTCTGATAAACAATTTAATTAATCAAGATCAACATCAATTACGACTTGAACTTGAGCGACGTAAAACAATGCTACGACTAAATGTTGAAGAACATCGACTTGTTGAAAAGTTTTACGAACTAAAGCAAAGACAAACGGAGGTAAACATACAGAAATCTTCTGAACATTTCAAAAACATATTAAAGTTTAGATAAATTCAGCAAAAATTATATGGAAAGCTATCAATGAACAACAAAATATAATACATGAAATTGCTATATTTAAGAAATGGCTTGAAGTTCATGCACAGGAATCATCATACACTCTTAATGGCATACAATTACCGAATATCTATCATATATTTATAACATTAAGCTTTGAAGGACAAACATCATCAGTCAAACATATTACTGAACAGACAATTGCTAAAGCTGAAGAAATCGTAGAACACTACAGCAAAATAGCAAAGTCTGAACAAAATAAACTACAATCAACTAAATCTCATCATAAAAATCCTGATTTACTCGAGCAAATCATCCATACCATACTTCAACGTGAAAATAATTTGGAACAACGTCGAGCATATGAATTACAAGGAAAAATTACCAATATATTCAACTATAAACGAAATACACAGATGGACAGCTGACCAAATATGCAACCTCACTTAACTGTATAAATTTTCTTTTTTGTCTCGAAGCTAAACATTGTACCCTACATAAACCTGTAAATAAACTATATGAATTATGAAATAAAAATTTACGAAAAAACTTCTCGATATATTATGGCATCTCATACTCTTTTTCTTTTTTTGTTTTAGATTTATTATCTATATTTTCGATATTAAAGCAAAGAATTATTATAGCTTCATTTATCTCAAATGGCTTACCAAATCAACGACACAACCGAAACAAATAACATCTCATCAGTCTCATCTGATGACGAATTCGAAAGAAGCATTTTTTCTTGGACACCGGAATCTCCATGTAAGGACAATAGTATCAACGAAAATGATTGGTCTTCGTCGGATGATAGTGGTAATGATACTGATAACAAGGAAATAACTTACCATCATAAAGAACCATCAAGTCTCAAGAATCTGAATTGGCATATGGTTCGTTATTTCATTAATGACATGGATCAAGAATCTACTAATCGATATGAACGTCGATAAGCTTTTTATTACAAAGAAAAACTTCAATTAATTCGACGAAAATTAAGCAATGAAAATCTTATTTTACGACCTATTTATACCGATATTGGATATCATGTGGAGTCAATAGATACTTTTAATAACAAAGTCACTCAATTTATGAACCAAACAAGCTGTTATTCATTCATTTTTAAACTCAGTCGCAACTATCCGACTGCTAGTCAAAATCGTTTAGCTAAAATTCTTGAACGAGTTGAAACAACATTGAACAATTTATTCCAATCTAAATCTATTACTGAAGCACAATATATGGCTATGAAGATCGATCGATCTACAGTACGAACGAATTATTTATATTTCGTATCAGATACACATAAAGTATGTATATCTTACTTATTAATTTTTATCCTATAGTTTATCTTAACTTAAAATGATATATAGGAAGGAATTCCAGTTCAACCAATTATGGTATGTAATGAGGGACCAACTATGGGTATTAGTCGTTATCCTGGTCGTCTTCTTGGATTACTTTTTAATGATGCAACTCATTGTAAAAAATTACGCAAAGCTTATAATGTTATACATGCTATGGAATTTTATCAGAAAAGTGGTCAACTTCGACCAACGATTTTATTTGCTTCATTTAATATTGATAGTTTATGTTTGAATTTTTCATATCAACAAGTTATGAATGCTTTAGAACATTTTCTCAATTCTTATATCTCATCAGATCATTCTATTCAAGGTATGACAATTAGTACAATTCTTCAACTTGTTCGTCTCGTACTCGATGAACAATATTTTATTTACAATTATAAATTATATCGAAAAACTGCTGGTAGTGCTTCTGGTCCATTATTAACTATTCCATTAGTGTATATCTATTTATTTTATTGGCAACAAGATTTATTAGAAGATCTTATTAATAAGAATGAACTCTTTTTCAGGTTTTTATCCTATTTTTTAATTATAAAACTCCATTCTATTTCTATTCACCAATGAATTTAGATATCGTAATGAAGCATTTATTACATGGAACAGATCTGAAGATGAACTTCGTACATTACTTGCTATGGCTAATTCACAATTTTCACAACCTATATTGAATATTACTCATATTGGATTAAGGATTCATTTTCGTGATATCCTGATAACAAACAATAATGGTATTCTTCAAACAGGTGTTTATCATAAACTAATGTTCGACGATAACGAATTACTATCATCATTTCCCGATATCATTCAACCACCAATAATACAAGATAGATGGAAATGGCTATATGCAGCTTTTTTAAAAGCCTTCCGATACTGCTCCGAAAACGACACTTTTCACGAAGAAACGGATGAAATCAAATGTCAACTTATACGATATCAACTGCCTGATTCTATCTTCAGTGAAGCCCATCAAGAAATTATCGAAGATTTTGGTGCATCGACTCTCTACCCACCATTTACTAAATCTAATTATGATATCATCCGTGAACATATTTTAGATTATGATAGATATCGAAAAGCAAAGAAAAAACAAAGAAACGCTGAACAGAACAAAGAAAAAGAAATACTATTGCAACTTCCGTATATACCAAACTTGGAAGGAAGTATCATAGGAAAAATCGAACAACAATTCCATACAAACTTGTATCAATATTTAAAAGACCACCGAACAATGCAACACATTTATATGAAAATCAAGCAAAATTAATCGTTCTTCTTCAAAACTATTGATTTTCTAGTGAAGAAACGGCCAGATATAAGTTATTTGACTTTGCCGGAAGAGGACCAACCAACCACAAAGTATGAATTCAAACGTAATCGATGCCTCAATCTATATGTTCTTTTCTATTTAATAGGTCATCTATCGAAAACAACCCACTTCAAGAACTAATCAGAAACATGCTCAAAAAACAATGACATTTATAATTATCTCCTTGAACTCTGTTATTTTCATATATTTAATAAACTTACATTCTTACACAAAAAAAAACTTCAAAACATAACCTCTATGCATTCATATCTTTTCAGATTAAAACAGAAACAAAAAACCTAAACAAACATCAAATTATCATATCACACCAATAAATATCAATTCAAACATAATTCACCAAACAATACACAAGCAACTTACAACTAACAACAACTTCGTTCGATTTTCTATACCTCACCAACAACATATATAACTCATCAAAATACTTCCAAACAAACATGCACAAAAATAGCAACAAATCCAACGAACACAACCCTAAAAGACTTCCTATCGCCGATACCAACATACTTCGCACAATCCCGCCATTATCAAACAAGTCTTCACAGTCAACTACGGTAAACCAACGCAACTTGATAAGTTTGAGTTAGTAACATTCGAAATAATCTATTAGGTTATCGTAGTACCTTATACACACCCACTACTATTGTAGGTGAATCTGCTTGAGGTTCTATTCCTCAAAGTAGATTTTTCAGGTATCATATCTGGATTTGAAATTTTTATTTTGAATCCACTTCGACTGGTACTGAGGTCACTTGATGAGATTGAGTTTAGAAACATTCGAAATAATCTATTAAGTTATCGTGGTAACTTATACACACCCACACCCACACCCCTTTATCGAGTTTTCCTCTGACAAGTGATCAAGTAAAGTGATTTGATTTATTAAAAACTTTCTTTTTCACTTCTTTTCTTTTTTCATAGCAAACTATGATTGATCGACTTAGACATTTACAAGAAAAACAAGTACAATTCTACGAAGATCTTGAAAAATTAGTAGCTCGAGTATCAATTGATTTTTTACCTCGAAGCTTCGACGAATTAGAGCGGTTCGTTTCATTTGATGATTATTTTCCTTGAATTAAAGACAATATTGCTGTGGAATTCAAACAAAACAGTTATAAAATTATACAAGAAGCAAAACGTATTTGGTTAAAAACGTATGTTGATGCATATGAAAGTCAAATGGAAGAATTCGAACATCAATATGAAGTGGAATTACATCAATTCGAATTAACTATTGTCCATTTCAAAATAGAAAAAGGGTGGTTGTTTTTTGAATAGCTTTTTAATGGAAATAGCTATCGATCTGCGGTTTTCACCATTTGATAGAGGCGGGCATTCTACATCTTTCTATAGATGATTCAAAATGTCGTCTTATGATCCTGATGAGTGGTCAATGAAATTCAAAGCAGTACCTGAAGTCCTATAAAAGTTGTATGACATTTCAATTGTAAGGGGTGCATTAGATGCGCCTGCTCA